ATTCAACGAATTATTTGTTTTCTTAATACTATAATTTAAGACTTTTTTACGTAAAATATCTTGAAGAATTTATCCCCACACGAAAGATACGGCATTTTTTTTAGGGCCAACGAAAATTATGCGGAATGTGCGGAGTATTTTCATCCGAGCTTTTCGCTGTGTATGAAATTCCACCCTTAGAAACTTGATAGATATTGTACTATTTTTCGTATTTTAAAATTCCTGAGTTGTCAACAACTTTAACTTCTATATGTTTAAACGTACAAATTCCTAAATTTTCAAAGATTTAAGTTAAAAAATTTTCGAAAAAATTTGCTAAACTTTTAAATGTTCAAAGATCCAAATACTTAAATTATTGAATTTGCAAGTTTTCAAATAGAAAAATTTTTGAAATAGAAATTTTCGATTTAAAAGATCTAACCCCGAAATTTTTAAATGAAAAAACTTTTCAAATGACCAAGATTTCAAATTTACAAATTATCAGATCCATACATTATTAAATTTCTAAACTATCAAATTATGAAATGTCCAAATTTATAAATTTACAAATTACTAAATTTTTTAATACTTAAATTTGAAATTTTACTCATTTCCAAATTATGGAATTATCAAATATCGAAATTTGTGAATCACCAAAATAATTATCTAATATTCAAATTTGTAAATATGTACATTTTCAAATTACCAAATCATCAAATACCAAAATTCATAAGTATAACAATTTTCAAATCTACAAATTTCTAAATCACTAAATTACTAAATTCCCAAACGCTCCTATTTGAAATTTTTAATTTTCCCAATTCTGCAATCTCCAAAACCCAAATTTTTAAATTATCAAAAATAAAATTTTAATCTTAAACTACACATTTCAAAGAAATTTATTCCTCTGACTTTACATTGTTTACAAATCAAAATTAAGCTTCATCTCTCTTCTTTTCATTTACAAAAACACTTTTAGCATCAGATTAGACCTCAGAATTAAATGAAATTAATCGTATACATTTTTCACTACGGTTTAAAAGATATTCATCAGTTGACCCGATTTAAATCCTTCACCTCGTATAAACCACAACCTTAAATTATGGTAATATCAAGCTTAAACTTTTCTGTTGTCCCAAAATGATATACTGTATTAGCACTATAAATATAGCGATAATAACTACCAGTAGTATAAAACAAAATAAAACAAACATTTTAAAAATCTTGTTGACAGAATACTCAAAATTCTATGTGAAACTGTGGATAACAGTGAGAATTGTTTTTCCGGCGATGTGTAATTTAGAACAAACATGTAGTTTAATGTTTTAACAAAATGATCAAAAATTTAAATCTCATTACTCATTAATGCATTCATCAGTAAAACTTCAACTATTTAAAAAATTCTCTTATTTAAATCTTCTGGAAAATTTCTTTGTATATTTTATTTTAACACTAAAACTACCAAATCGGTTAAATGACCGCTCCACAATTCTCTTATTATAAGGTACTCATTTCGTTAAAATACATTCCTTGAAATCAGAATTGATTTTCATCAAGATAAGATTTTCATTTGATTTTCATCAAGATAAAGAATAAATGTGTGTACTAATTTATGTTTTGTCGTTTGTTTATTTATTTTTTAACTTCATTTTTAATTTCAAATTAAGTACATATTATATGCCGGTAGGTGTAGTGTTAAAGTACAGAGTATCAAGAGAAAAAATTTTAAATGAGATTATATTTGTTTCACATAGTATAAGATTCACGACAATGCCATGGTAATTTAAATACATAATATCAAGGTTACATGGATTCCGTCTGCTCAGTGTATTGTGTTGTTTTATATTTCAAACAGTTTGGAATTTGCAATCATGATACGGCTTTTACACATAACCTCAGAATATTCAGACAAGGCAAAATTTAAATGGATAATGTCATAACCATTAAAATATGCACACAAAGCATCTTAAAATTCCTGACCTATGCCATATTACTTAAAATCGTTGCAAGATGTCGCAAAATAAATTTAGAACAAACATGTAGTTTAATGTTTTAACAAAATGATCAAAAATGTAAATCTCATCACATTCATCAGTAAAACTTCAACTATAGGTGGCCAAGATAAATGAGGCCCTGTACATCACGTGACCCCATTCGAGCGCGAAATTCAAATATCACGCATAGTATGATTCTGGTCCTCTTTTATCTTAGCCACCCACTATGTATATTATTAAAAAACATACAGCTATTATACACGACTTTATTTAAAATTTGATTTAACGTTATAAGTAGAAAAACAGTGACTAATAATTTTGTACGAGTAACCAACATTTTTTCATGACCTCGCGTGCGTTGGATAGTGCAATGCGTTACGTAAACGGTTTCATTCTTAATATTCTGACACGATACTGTGACTCGAACATAATGAGTAGCGACACTAAGCTTACGTACAATGCATTTCCGACAAATTGAATTTAAACGTTCAATGAATTTTTTTTACACTCGACCAACATTAATCCACTTCTAGTTAATTACGGAACGACGTTTTTCGAATTCCATGCGTGATAAACTGCACGAGATTGTAACGGGTGTATGAGTCATTTCAAACTTTGAACTGTAAAATAATTTTTTAATTTCTGTAGCAAGAATTGAAATTACTGATAAGAAGTTATGAAATTAACGTGTTTCTATCGAAATATTTAATACAGGAGAAATTAATTATCGTAGTTTTACACAGCATTGATAATAAAAGTGAAAAATATTTGACAATAACTCATAAGTTAAAAATATTCTATTTAAAAAACAGTGTCAACTTTTTTTACTTAATAACAAAAGAGTTTTGTAATGTTAATTGTTAAATTCTAGATTTCATCATGTATTTTGTGCTAAAAACGAATTTTAGTGTAAAAATTGTTAACAATACTATGAACATATTAAATTAAAAATGAATTATTGTTTTAAATATATCTCCAGTTTTATAAAATAAATATCAAAGTTGTAAGTTTAATTATCACGAATAAAAACAATAGAATCTATTTAACTGTTTTCTGTTTTTTATAATAATTAATGTTTTGGACATGATGTATTAAGTGATTATTAAAATATTTTACTATTTTCCATTTTAATAATAAAATTTGCAAAATCAAATTAACCCTTAATTTCTGTTTCAAATATTTCGCATAAAACTTGTTACAATATTCCGGTATTTTGTCAAATATCCACAAAATTTGATAATTTGCAAATTTTTAAATTCACAAATTCATTAAAAATAATTTTTATTTCCTCCAATTACAATTATGCTTCTTTAAAACCTTCATTATGTTTCTGGAAAATGCTTTAATTTTAATGTCTTAAATATTATATAACTTTTCTTTAAATAAAGACGTACATTTACTATTATTCTTCCATTAACACTAAATAAAAAATTTAAAAGAGTTCAAAACTTAAATTTCAAAATGCACTTCATTGCACTTTCAAAATGCACTCTTCTGCAAAACTATAAAAATCATAGTTAAAGAAAGCTTCTTTTAACAGCATACTGTTCCCAAATTTCTACATTTATTTCTCGTGTCGTTCTCAATAATTAAACATTTATTTCAAAATTGCAGAAAACGATGCAAACTAAGATTCACGAACGCGTTCATAGAAAGGTAAATAGAACAGCAGATCTGTCATGCCACGTTGCTCCATCTATCAAACCAACGAAAATAAACTTCAAAAAATGGTGTCCTTTACCCTCGCCGAGTCTCGACCAGAGAGGAAGAATGTAAACAGAAACAAGCACAGTTCTTTTTTCGATTGTCACGAGTATTCGCGTAAAATTGGCACGTAGTAAAGACTCGCAGTTGGTTCCGTGCACGCCGCAAGGGCGCGTGCGTATTCGTTTCATCCCCTAATTCATTTTCTATCCTCGTTTCACCACCAGGAGCGACCCCCTGTGCTCTGTGGTGTGTGTACGCGCGATGTCGTGGTACAGTGTCGAGATTGCTTCGTTATAAGATTCAAAAGGACTCACCACGTTGGATACGTGACGCCAAGCCTCGAGATTCGTGCACATAATACCCCAGTGGAGTAGCAAGTAGATGACGAGGATGAAAATTGAGAACAAGAAGAACGTGACCACCTTGTAGTGGTACATGAAACCGGGCAATCTTCGGACGTTCATGATCTTGCGGACTTCAGTTACCTCGGGTGAGTAGACGAGTATTTACACAGTCGTTCTTCCGAACTCCACAGATTTTGTCGATGTTTCCCTTTGGTCTTCTCATAAATTAGATCGTCGTCGACGTCCGCGACGGCGCATCGTGACGACGCCCTGCTTTTTTTTTAATCCCTTCACGATCGAATTTTAATGTCTTAAATATTATATAACTTTTCTTTAAATAAAGACGTACATTTACTATTATTCTTCCATTAACACTAAATAAAAAATTTAAAAGAGTTCAAAACTTAAATTTCAAAATGCACTTCATTGCACTTTCAAAATGCACTCTTCTGCAAAACTATAAAAATCATAGTTAAAGAAAGCTTCTTTTAACAGCATACTGTTCCCAAATTTCTACATTTATTTCTCGTGTCGTTCTCAATAATTAAACATTTATTTCAAAATTGCAGAAAACGATGCAAACTAAGATTCACGAACGCGTTCATAGAAAGGTAAATAGAACAGCAGATCTGTCATGCCACGTTGCTCCATCTATCAAACCAACGAAAATAAACTTCAAAAAATGGTGTCCTTTACCCTCGCCGAGTCTCGACCAGAGAGGAAGAATGTAAACAGAAACAAGCACAGTTCTTTTTTCGATTGTCACGAGTATTCGCGTAAAATTGGCACGTAGTAAAGACTCGCAGTTGGTTCCGTGCACGCCGCAAGGGCGCGTGCGTATTCGTTTCATCCCCTAATTCATTTTCTATCCTCGTTTCACCACCAGGAGCGACCCCCTGTGCTCTGTGGTGTGTGTACGCGCGATGTCGTGGTACAGTGTCGAGATTGCTTCGTTATAAGATTCAAAAGGACTCACCACGTTGGATACGTGACGCCAAGCCTCGAGATTCGTGCACATAATACCCCAGTGGAGTAGCAAGTAGATGACGAGGATGAAAATTGAGAACAAGAAGAACGTGACCACCTTGTAGTGGTACATGAAACCGGGCAATCTTCGGACGTTCATGATCTTGCGGACTTCAGTTACCTCGGGTGAGTAGACGAGTATTTACACAGTCGTTCTTCCGAACTCCACAGATTTTGTCGATGTTTCCCTTTGGTCTTCTCATAAATTAGATCGTCGTCGACGTCCGCGACGGCGCATCGTGACGACGCCCTGCTTTTTTTTTAATCCCTTCACGATCGACTCATTCGTTTCGTTTTCGAACCTCGTCCCGACGACGATGCGATCGTCGGCCGACCGGTGCTGTACGCTTGTGGCAATGCGGCATAATCTGCGGCACATGCGAGCGCCGCGACGCCGCGCCTCTCGTGGCGAATCTTCGGATAAAGTCTCGTTGCGCAGGCTCGTATGTATTTAGACTTGTCTACGAAAAAATTCGAAATTCATTCACGACGTTCTTCTCGATACGCCGTTATTTCCTGTGGAATTATTTTCTGCCGGTGGTGATTCGCTGTGAAAGACGGATTTGAGGTTAGGTTCACAGCGTCATACTGAACTATCAAAGTGGTCAAATAAGTGTCTTCAAGTTACTTTAAATTATGATTAATAGTTAAAATAGTGGTTATTAAAATTTATTAAGGTGGTTTTTTTTTTAAATCTGTGCTGATCGAAATAAAGAATTAATGTGCATATAAATTTATTTATTTATCATTGTACATTGATGTTTTATGTGTATATATATGTTTCATCACTGTGAAGTTATGTTTTATGTGTATATTTATGTTTTATCGCTGTACATCTATGTTTTATCGTTTTAAATTTATGTTTTATATGTGTACTTACGTTTCATTACTGTAAAGTTATGTTTTATCGTTTATTAAATCATTCTTTGATATTAGTTTGTTTTGTCATTTTTAATTTTAAAATAAGTGTGTATTCTACACATATGATGTTTAAATACAAATGGGTTGGGTTCCGCAGGAATTGTTTTGGTGATGTCATGTTTTGCTTTTTAAAGAAGACGGTTAGGTCCTTTTAGGGAGTCGGTCAGAGTATTGAACTAGGATACCAGACGTATTGTTGAGTAGTGTAGTACTGGTGTAAAAATTTATTAAAATGTTGTTCAATGTTATATCGATGTTCACTATAGTGTATATGTTAACTGAACTAATCAGGCGTTTGTGTGATCGGAAACGTCTGTTATATATCAAGGTATGTATTATCTGCAAATAAAAGTGTACACATGTGTAAGTTAGATATCCAGTAGTTTTACAATTGATTTATTTTTTTAACTATCCGAAGCCGTTTAATTATATTACTCAGAATATAGTACTATATACTTTACGTATTTATATTATAAAATAAAATATCTGAATCTTATCAAAATTTTATTTTAAAGTTATTAATATATCCTTGAAAATTTATCTGAAAATGATGTTGACAATTATACGTATACAAGATTAATTCCAAGAAAAAACAAATTTAATTAGATTATGTGAAATGGAGAAATAATTTAAAGGCATTCGATTTTATTTACAATATATTACACAGAAATTTACTTCTTAAACTAACACTTGTTTTAAGGTCACGTTTGAAATAAATTAAATTTCTACATCAAACATCTTAATTTCTTTAATCAGTTCTGAGGCAACTAGCTGTTACAGAATTATCGGAACTAAAATAAAGTAATGAACAGAATATACAAATTCAACCGAGAGAGTAAATTCTTTTTTTGTGTTCTAATTTTCTAATAGATTACAAGCAATTTTTAAATGGATACACATTGCAGTTGTGTAGTTTTTCACAGTTTGACCGTTAAACGTAGTTCGTTTGACAGAAAATTCCACTGCACTTCCGCGGCAACCGTTGCGTAACAAAATCTTTATGTCGGACATCGTATTCGTTTAAGAAATTCTTGCACTAGTTTGACTAAATAGAAGATGTGCGACAAAAACTTCGGTTTCATGCACAACGTTCTAGCTGCAACTGCCTTTTTGGTCGCTGTAGAAACTTTTTGCTGGCTCATCATCATTGTCACGGGTACGTGCACACTTTAACCTTTGTCAACGTGTGCTGTCTTATAAATGTGTATTTCAAACGGGCTAGGGAAGCTCTCAATTCGAGGTCCAGCTGGTGCTGCCTCCTTTATAGTATGCACACATTATGAAGTGTATGCGACTGAAATCTTGCGATCGATGGTGCATGTGTTCGAAATATGAAAGACAAATTATTGGGACTACATTTTTAAATATACTTGATTTACTGAACTGTTTATATAAATTATTATAAGTATTCGTTTTATTTTCTAAGGTTTCTTGAAGTACACTTTTAATTAATTGGATTACGTAAAAGAATAACTTAATGTATTTATTTGAACTGATACCGAACTTAAATGTACACAAATATTTTCCTTTTTAATATTCGTTATTTATGTTACAGTAATTATGTATTTGTAGAAGTGAAGTTTTTAAAGAAGATATAAAAAGTAGAAAAAAAACCTATTTACACTATTTAGTATTGTTAATTAAATTAATGTATTAATTAATGCGAAAAATTATTTTTCAAATATTTTTTCAAAATATATAACATACTTTTAATGAAGCATATGTTAAATATGTAGTAAATAAATATGTTGCGAATTGTTTAAGAATTGATTTATGAATTTTTACAAAACAGAATTTAAAATATTTTTTCTTTATTTTTGAATGTTTAATATTATAAATTATAGAATAATTAATTCTATACCTTAAATTTATTAAAAAATAGTTGAGTGTGTGAAACACCTAGGAAGAAAGGAATTATAAAATTTTATGGTTTTTGAAAGTCAACTTAAGTTACGAATATAAAGACATAAATGAAGAATAAATAAGAAAGAGAATTTAAATGGGGACAGCTAAATATCTTTGGTATTAAGACGTTGAATGCCTTGAGTGCCATGAATTCAATGTAACCGAATAATTAAGAGCGAATATGTTTAAAAAATGTTAGGTCATATAAATATTATTCGACAACCTTGTTTCCCTTCCATAAATATTAGGTCAATTAAAATGATAAATTAAATCGATTTGCACATAAATTACTAGATACGAATAAAGTAAAGAATTAAATATAATTTCTATACAAATTTTAATATTTTAATTACATTTATTCATAAATTAATTTAAATGGTAAGTAAATTATAGACAATCTATAATACTGATTATAGTGTACTGATCATAAATTATAATATTGCAATTACAATTGAAGAATGAAAATAAATAAGATCGTAAATGCGAAAAATAGGAAGATAACTTTTTGTTTATCAGAATATTATTTATTGACAGAATATACTAAAACTTATAGCTTATAGAAGCCTTTTATAATTATGACATTTTCACATATATTTCTAAGATTAGCTTACAAATAAATTACTAGTAATGAACAAATTAGAGTATTACTTGCAATTTGATATAACATGTATACAAATACAATTTAGTGTAACTTGGGTAAATATTATAATTGCAATTATTTAGAAGTTATTTTAAATTATAAGTAAGCTATTAATCAGGAACAGATTAAAATAGTATTTTTAGGTTAGCAAATCTTGCATGCAAACCGTAATATTATAATTCTTATTTTTAAATTAATTAAAATTATAAGGAAATTAAAATTGTAATTACTTATAACTAAACTTTATACACAAATTGTAATTTTAAAATTACAGTTAATTACAACATAATTCAAATTAATTAAAAATAAATTAAAATGTCACCTTCAGTTTAGCATATCTTGCATACAAATTACAACTATTATAATTACAACTACATCTAAATTAATTTAAATTATACGTAAATTAAAATTGTAATTACAAATTGATTTAAATAATAAATGAATTATTAACTATAAATAGGTTAAAGTATCACTTACAACTTATATTTTACGTACAAATTGTATTGTTGTAATGACATTTACTTGCCAATTAATTTGAATTATAAGTGCTGATTATAAACAAATTAGAATATCAATTACAATATAATATATCTTACATATTACAAATTATAATATTATTGGCATTCCAAAGTGGAATATCATACGATGACGTGGATAGTAAATAATAATATACATATCTAACTCCATTATTTTCTCACTCGATAAAATTGTTCTTCACCATCGATTAATTCAATTCATACATATTCGTTCAAACTCTAGCGGAAGTTTAGTACGATATTTTTAAAATGCAGATTTTCTTTGTACTGTTTTATATTTTATACCCGGAACATTCAATACAAGTTTAATGACTGAAATTAATATTGTTGTCTCCCTGTTTTATTTAACTGTTTTATAAAAACTACAGTATTGAAAACTTTATGAAAAGTAATTAATCTCTTTTTCCTTTCTGTTATAGCAGTTTGTATTCTGCTTTAAAATTTTTCCTACAGTTTTTAAAACTTTTGAAGAAATTATTAATAACTCCAACATTTTTATTGATTTTTATTTTAACATCCTGATTAGTATCCTTCTTCTTTCGAAACTTTTATCTTCCCAACATTTTCATTACTTAATAACTTTCCGTGACCCATCATACTTATTCTTCTTAACAATAATCTTATCAATAATCTTAACAGTAATATAAAATGTAATGATTACAGGAATATAAATCCAATTAAAAGAATTTAGTTCAGTTACGAAAATATTGTTGAACGATTGTCTTTATTTATCACGGTTATTGTTAACTGAACATTATTAAACAAATAAAGAATATTCATGTGAACGCATTGTTTATTCACCTTATAACAAGATTTTCACAAGTATCAGTTATATCAACAGCAATGTTATTAAATGTAATTTTCTGGACTATATTACGTGTATACTTAGCTAATAACATAAAAGCATTACATGAAATCTTCTTTCATTTAACCTGAATAAACCTATAAAATTTTATGTCCATGAGTGTACTCGATTTCGCTCGATAGAGGGCTCTCCGCGTCATCCCCCTTCCCTAATCCCTTCTTGGCCAGCTTTATACTTTTGACAATTTTTCTGGGAGTTTTGGCCTATTTTATGAAAGTTTGTTTCGTTGACAAAAAGTCGTATTTGGCACGGTTTGGCCTGTACATTTGTATGTATATGTGAATGAGGGGGTTGGGGTTTTATAGTATTTTGATGTATGTATAGTTAGGATCGAAGCAAAACTTGGTACGTAAGCCTGTTTAACATTTAACAAGGGTCCTTTTAACATTTAAGAAGGGAAGAATACAAATTTTCTATAATAGATCATTTAATTGACTAAACCTTCGAAAATTAAAAAGCCTCTACTTCTATGCATTAATAGATTTTCTATATTTTTAAATTTACTACTCTACTGATAATTTTCGTTATAACAACGTGTTGGTGTACAGTGTACATAATGTGTTTCAATTATAATGTAAATCTTCGTCTACACGATGTTAAAAACATTCATGTTGATAAATATTAATAAAAATTGTTTACTCCCATAATGTTTAAATTGTCTTAATTTGACTCCACATAAGTCAGAATATATTCACACGATGAAAAGATTTATATAAGATATAATAAGATATATATTTATAAAAAATTTATTGCTTATACAGATGAATGTGGAAAAAATTGTACATAATAAGTCCAAAATCCGTACATCTTTAATAGGAAAAAAAT